GGGGGGGCATTTATATCCCTGCTCTTCAATGCGTATGTCGTATCTATAGACTTGTTCATGATAATATTACATAGATCAAGATCTCTCGGCTCAGATCTAGTTTTGTCCTCTTCAGGTGGCGACACAGAAAGTGGATTCCCAAATGAAGTTACACGATTGTCTGGTCACATTGAATTATTGAACCAGATTTTAGCTGGTGTCACAACAAGAAGTGCTGTGTTCAAAATGACTCGATATACCGATGCATTTTGTTGTGTTCTTTTGGTTTTGTTTACATGTGTACAGGACGGGAGATCAGCCATACTCTTGGAATCGGATACAATTGACGTGGGTTTATTTTTGAACTGGCCGGCGAATGTAGAAGAAATTGTGGAAGTGAAAGAAACAACAATCGAGAGACCGTACACTTTTTTCTGGGACCTGTATATTCAACCAACTGACAGTGCCCCGCAACAACCCAGCACCACGGATAAAACTTGGCTGGAGCAAGCAGGAAAACTACCTGGTTATGAGGTTGCCAATAACGCTTGGAATAAACACAACGGGTTTACGTTCTTTACAAATTCTCTACCATTGCCAACGATAGCCGCAGCTCCAGATGTAGCCCCGTTCTCTGTTCCTAGACCCAAAGAAACTGGAGATGACGACTTCGTAATTATTTTGGCAGCTTCAGTGGGTGGAGCTGTATTCCTCCTTCTCGTCTTGGGTGTCCTGCTGTGGAGACTGTTCAAGTCAAAGAAAATCAACAGCAGGGTTGGCAGCGCTTCCTTGCAACCTCCCGAACACGGACCACCTATTTTCCTCATGGCCACCGCCCCTTCAGGACTTCCGCCGCTCGAAAATTCCTATGGTGCACTGCGGCCTTCTCCCGCCAGACAAGGTCACCTTAAGGCTACCATTGCCGCCATGTTGCCTCCCCTCCCCGGAGAAGGCTCTGGGCCTCAAATAAATCCGTGGTTCAAATAACATTTCGATCGGGGATGTTTGCCGAAATATGCTCCTCATTAAATATTGTTGATGTCTTCTGCACATTGTAGGAAAAGCTTTCGATATACATGTAGTTGCTATTTACCTTTTTACTACGGTCATGTATTTGCAGCATGCCAATGTCATCAGTGATGATATTCATAAGTACAGTATTAGATCTACCTTCTGAGCTTTTTGTAAATAATGATAATAGTAACAGAATCATTGTCCTCAGTGACTACAGTGCAGAGCACTAAGTCAATGTTCTTTCCTTTAGTTCTTATTACATGACCAGGGTTATCTGCGTGAGGCCTCTGGGTATCTGTGACTTTAGGATTTTAATGTTTAAAACAACTGTCAAGTCCATCAAGTTCTTTCATGCCCACGAATTGTATGTGGCTTAAGTTCAAGTATTACTACAGCAGAATAAATATTTATCTCGATGTTCATCCTGAAAGCTGTACGTGTTGAACATGAATTTTGTTAGAACAATTTCCAATACTAAGTCGTAGTTTCTCGTTTAGATCGTGCCTGCTGTGGAATTCCAGGAATGAACAACCTTTACAGTTATACCAAGTTTCTTTATATTTTAATTTTTGTTTGTTTGTAAGTTTTCGTGTATTACATGTATCTCTATTGTTTGTTTGGTAGCGAAAAGAGGGGAGATTTGAAACGGACTAGATTCCTGCAAAGATCTATAAATAATACAACGAGCTGACATCAAAGGAAAACCTGAGTCTCAATGTTAATTTTCGATTTGCAAGAAATAGGATAAACCAAATACGTCAATAAAACAACAACAACAAAAACAAAACAACAACCCCCCCCCAAAAAAAAAACAACCCAACAAAACAACCCTAACAAACAACAAAACTAACTGGTTACGTTTGTGGTTAGCACTATTCTAAGCTAAGGTGTATATTTAGTTTAGGGTTATTGTTGTTGTTGTTGTTTTCAAACCCCTTCAGCTGCGAGCATTTCGCTCTTGGCAGCGCAATGCCTCACTCAAGTAACCCCATGTCCTTGTCATCTGGTCAGCGCCAGATTAGTTTAGGGTTAAAGAAGCAAACATTATTTTTGTTCAGCCTGTCTGGTGTACGAAAATAAGTTTTGTTGAGGTGGTGAGACGGACCTGCAAAAGCGCACTGGTCAAATGGACATCGGTGTTGATGAACTCCTACCAAAGCAAAGACGCATAATATTACAATATTATAGAATCTAAGCTTCCTAGCACTAGTCCGGTCAAATAAGTTTAAGAATAGATTGTAAAGTGCACAGATTGCTGTTGAGCGGGAATTCGCACTATATTAATGCTGTTTTATGTGTGACAGCGTGGTGGAATCAGGCGCTCGAAAAAAATGACTAGAATAAATAGACATTTTACGTTGGTTGGACGAGATTTTTAAAATCGATTGTATGTTTTAATATTTTATTTAGTTTATTCATTAATTGACTGATTGAATAATTTATTTGTTTTACATACATACCGGAGCATACTGAACTTCGGTTGTTTTGGAGTGTATTTAAGACTCTCTTCTTCCGATTGGCCCTGTCTTATTGGAGATGGACACACAATTTGGAGGTACCGCCTCTTTAAAGCCTAACAGTTACAGTGTTGAAAGGGGCGATGAATCTATACAGTGAATGAATGGGGTCCGGTAAGGAGCATCAGTGTTAGGGGAAGAACATCTCTAGCTCGACCATAGTCATCTCCTTAGTTGTTAGTAGTATAATGTTTTACGGCGCTCGCAACTGCGTAAGGTCATATGAGCGCACCTGTAGTCATCTCCACACCCAGACTTACAAACAAGGCACTCATAATGGACACAGTAACCACCTCTACATCACTGCTTGTATAGAGGCAGTTGGGCATGGATACACAGAAGTTATTGGAATAAAACCTATCTTGTGGTCCATATTAAAAAAAAAACCCAATATATTAAAACCTACAAATTAGCAGTGTCATTTGAATGAGGCAGAAGTGCTTGAGGCTCTTTAGTTTAGTAAGAGTTTTACGGCACTTGCAACAAAATAAAGTCATATAAGTGCTGTTGAGGCTCTTGTAGTTTTGCTTATGTGGAGTATCCGTTTCGCGTTAAAGAAATCAACTTTAATCCTCTGTCATACTATAATTTGGGTCAAACTTGCCCCGGTATCTGTTCGCCATCCCTTCATAGCTTGGTAAAAAAAAACATTCACCATGCTCATCACTTATATCTCTTTTTAGTTTAAGTAAAAGTTTTACGGCACTTGCAACACAATAAGTAAGGTCATTTTCGTGCCGAAGATTAGAGGTGCTACAAGAGACTAACAAACACAAAAAAGGAGGAGGAGAGAGAAGAACAATAGTTTTTAACAGGAAAGAAGAAGCAAACCAGACCAGAGCACTCGCCAACCACCCACCTTACACTTACATCTCCAAAATCCAAAGGAAAAGTCAAGTTGCAATGGCAGAAAGTGCATTTTTAAAATATTTGAGTGCCCAAATGACAGTATTTTAAACATGTTTTGCAGCAAGACAGAATAGTTGTTAGCTCTGAAGTTACTGTTAATGAGCTCCGCAGGGATTCTCAGGTCGAGAGGGCTGCCATTCAGCTTCTGGTGCCTGTCCCTGGGTAGAGGCCAGAATTTTTGACTTGCCGTATCCAGTAGTGGGCAGTCCTGGAGAATATGCTGTGCATCTTGGCAGCTGGCCCCACAAGGACAGTTGGGTCCCTCACCGATCTTGAACCGGGAGAACATGTGATGCTTCAGGTCGTTGCATCCAGTTCTGAGCCTGAAGATTATCACTTGGTCGGCTCTTGGGAGCTGGTATACTGGGTTCTTTCTTCTGTGTTGTGGGTCCTTCTCATTCCATTGGGCATGGTTTGCTGACTTTATGAGTGTTTTAGTCTCCTGGTAGTTGGGGCTGGGATGGGTTCGTTCCACTTGACCTCCTTTCCTCGCCAGTTCGTTGGCATATTCGTTTCCAAATATGTCCATGTGCCCAGGAATCCATATCAAGACAACTCTGCTGGCTGTAGAGGTTAGTGCCATGATAGCTCTTGTTAGGGCAATGAGTTCAGTACTCCCTGAGATTGTAAAAACATTTATTTCTGTCCATAGCTTTGAACAGGTTTTTCATTAATCCCAGAGTATATATGTGTCAGTATATATATATATATATACATATAGAGAGAGATAGATAGATAGAGAGAGACAGAGATAGACAGAGAGAGAGAGAGAGAGAGAGAGAGAGAGAGAGAGAGAGAGAGAGAGAGAGGCCAGAAGCCAGCAGGCCAAACAGACAGCCAGAAACAAAAAACCAAAACACCAAAAAAAAAAACCCCAAAAAACTGCAGATACAAAAACTTAATTTTCAAGATTTTTATTCATCAAATGTACAGCATAAGAAACAACAAAATAAAGAATTGCTCAACATCCCATCATGTATTCAGATCCAGCAGTCTCTCAACATGCCTGTTGATAATATCTCTACAAACGTCAGCAATATCCGGCACGCACCAACCATCTCGCTCGGAGCACTCTTTTTCCTGGGTTAAAAAAAAAGCCTTGGAGTAACTCTCAAAATTTACACATATCTACAAAAGCATATAATATACATTAGCACAAATCCATCGGAAATATTAATAGATATTCAAAACAATATCTCTATTAAAATTAAATCAAAATGCTGACCAAAAAAATCAACTACAGTGGAAACCATATATAACAGGCCCGGTAATAACAGGGATCCGGTAATAACAGGGATGTTTAAAATCCCCGTTTTTTCCTATAGTTTGTCCCTATTAAAAGTTATCGGCAATAACAGGGCCTCATCGAGCCCAACCGGTTATAGCAGGGACAAAGGCTCGTTAACAATGTGTAAAAAGAGAGAGAGAGAGAGAGAGAGAGAGAGAGAGAGAGAGAGGGAGAGGGAGAGAGAGAGAGAGAGAGAGAGAGAGAGAGAGAGAGAGAGAGAGAGAGAGAGAGAGAGAGAGAGAGAGAGAGGACAACCGGTCGGCCTAGATCTAAGCCTATTTCTTTCATTATGGTCACCAACGATGTCAAGCGCAAGAGAAAATGTCTTTCAATTGACAAAAAATACGAAATAATCCAGACTTTTGACAAAAAGCAAGCTCCACTGGCAGAGATTTGTCGTCAGTTCGACATTCCACAAGAGTCGACTCCCACCATTATCAAGGATAACGAGAAGATAGTGGCAGCATACTCCAATGAAAAGTTATTAGCACATGTATCAGCTGAAAACTTATGTATTTGCCTTGTTTTTAAGGAAAAATAACTCATTTATCTTGAATAGAAGTCGAGATATATGTGACTGAACGAGGTGGGGTCGACTGGATTGAGTGGTAAAATAAGTGAAGTAATGGCTGCCAAAGTTTGTTATTTTCAATAGCTTGAGAGTCCCTGAAAGCTGAAACATAACATATTTTGTACTCTGAATCAACGTTTTTCAGTAAAATTCACACGAAAATGGGTGTCACGGCGCCGTTAAATCAGGTGCTCATCAATTTTTGGGCATGTCGAGATATTGATATCATCCAAAAGCTTGTTTTCGATGACAAACATTCGTGATTAAAAGTTGAAATCTTAAAGATTGAAGAAGGTGGGGGTCATCTGGTTTCAAAGGTAAAATTAACGAGGAAATGGTTGCCAAAGTTTGGTATCTTCAGTAGCTTGAGAGCCATTGAAAACGGAAAATTTACATATTTTCAGGCATTTATTAACGTATTTAATTCAAATTCATATATGGAAATTTGTGTGTGTGTTTTTGTTTTTTTTGGTAAATGTTTTACTGTGCTTGCAACTGCACAGGGTCATATAAGTGTATGGGACACATTAAACATTTTCAATTGCTAAGAAATTTTGAATTTTGCCTGGGTGGTGGCCGAAGCCTACTCTTATCAATTTTGGACCACCATGCAAGGGTCTTTGTTTTATTGAGCGCAACTTGCACACGGGACCTCCGAGATTTTTCGCCCTTGTCCGAGAAGGCTAAGTGCAGATCTTTCCTACCAGAAGATCAGGGGTGTGCCTGAAAGACAGCAGTAAGGAGCCATGGAATAGCAGTAGAAAGGCTGCAGAAAGAGTCAGGAGCCCACAGGAGACGGCAAAGGGGATGAGGGGGTGGGGGCAGAAAGTGGAGACTAAAGAAGACGACAGAACATTGTTAGAGAACAGGAAAGGATGAGAAAGAAAATAACTTTAGAGAAGAAAATTTACCGTTGCTATCCGGATTCGAACCCGGGACCTATTGAATGAGAGGCAAACACTTTAACCTCTAGACCATGAGAGCCTGCAATGCGTTTTTATATGGGCATAAAAGGTGTTGAGTCATACAACAAAAATTTGATAAAAATTGCAAAACTGGAGGAAAAATGCCTTTTTCTTCGATTTCATTATTTTGAGGAGCGCCTGATTTCACCATGATGCCTCACATTCACTGAACAAAAATCTGGGTGGGCAGTCATTCAACCAAACAATGAAAATATGCGATCATTGAACTGCCCATAAAGTCACAGATGGGCCATTCTCAAGAATATGATCACAGCTCCGTTGTAAATCTCGATGAAAAAGTAAACTGAACAGCCCAGGTCTGAACTTGTCGATGTGTTTGTCCCGACCTCCCCCCTCCCCCCCAAAAAAAACCAACAACAACCCAAACAAAGAAACAATATCTCACTCGCATCTGAGCTCTCCACCTGAATTTGCATCACAAGTGAGGTGGGTAGGGCCTACAAGTAAGGCTGCATCAGACGGGATCACATTGAACAGTGAACTCGTCATAGCTTTTGTTTCCTTGTCCATTGCAACAGTTGTCTCTACACTCGAAAGCACTAGAAAGTCTGAACTTGACTTAGTGCGGTCACAACACAGTGGTGTGTTATGACAGAGGTGGGGTAACTCACTTGGAGATGGAAAACTATAAAATTTGGACAGGTAAAGGTTAGGAGCAATAGGATCACTGTTGATCTTGAGACTCACGATTGGATAAGTAAAAATGGCATGCCTAAAGCCAATGTGATTGGTCATCAAAGTTAACCACTCTTCACTCGTCATTAATCATAAACCCACCCAGAGGTCACGCCAATTCGTTTCAGACTAAGGGGAGAACATTTTCAAAGATTGTGGGCCTGAACATGAATAACCGTGGATTCTCCCCATGGTACATCGGCAAAGATCCCATTCACCTAACTTCCCACATTTTCCTTGCTTCCAAGCACCAGGATCTGCGGCGGAGACCGCTGAATTCTTGATAAGAGATAATAGAATCACATGACTATATCAGTTCAAGTAAAAAGATTTTCAGGAAGAGAGAAACTCGAACAAAACAGGACATTTCTCTTTGAATGTACGAACCATTTAGCCATGCTGTACATGTGAGAAAGAATCTAACTTATATTTCCTGGAAACATGAACAGCCTGTTTTGAACAGCACAAAAAAGAAGTCATTTTTGATATATCAGAACAAATACAGACAAAAGAACTACTAAACAAATACAGACACAATGAACAGAACAGATATAATAATATAGAGAAAAAACACTAAACAAAGAGCCTTACTTTGCCATCGTTCTCATGCACTTTCTTTTGAACCTGTTCCTCGTATATGTCACACAGTTGATACTTCATCTGACGGTAGGGTGGAAGTGTGTCTGGACGAAACATGTACTTGGGATCCTTAAAAGAAAAAAAATATAAAAAGGGAGAATGAGCACTTCATAAATCTTTCCTTTTCAGTCTGGCGGGAAAACAGCTGGTAATCTGCCCTAAAGTTCAGCTCAGCCTGTAGTTCGACCAGCCTGCTTATTTCTCCCACAGGATTTCCTCAATGGACATCTTGGCTATGATAAGAATAGATCTCTGGCGTTAAGTTGTGTCTTGGTTTTTATTTCTAGTGATGAAAGAGTGTCAGTAGCCACACTGTACAGTAGGGGCCTGGTAAAAACCCAACGATAAATCAAAAATTAAATTGTACGCTTTAATGTACTCATACACAAGACAGGGTGTTGTGCATCTGCAGTCAAAGCTTTTATACAAGGCACTGCACAGTCACTGTATAGTACGGCAACTCGGTCAAAAGACAATGTTCTTCTCTTAACTGAGTTCTCCAGACACCATGAATGTTTGTGAAAGATTATGTCCAATGAGCTTAAGATTAGAAGAGTTACTAGAGAGTAACAACATAGAAAAAAGGCATAATGGTGAAATCAAGCACTCGTCAAAATAATGAAATCAAAGATACCAGCATCTTTCTGCCTGTTTGGCAATGTGTATCGAATTTTTTTCTTCAGTTCAACAGTTTTTATGTCTATTCAAAAACACATTTCTTTGTGGATTTTACTGAAAAACAATTAAAAGCACAAAAAATATAAATTTTCAGTTTCCAAAGACTCTCAACCTATATAAGTCACTAAACTTTGGCATCCATTTTCTCTCTGAAATCACCCAACCCACTTCCTTCAGACAAAAAATATCTTGACTTCTATTCAAAACAGATGGGTATTCTTTCATCGAAAGACAGACAAATAAGCAAGCTTTAAGATGAAATGTATAACTCAACATGTCTGACAAATTGACGAACGCCTGAATCCATCGCGCCATGAGACATGTAGATTCTATAAAAAGATGACAGATAGGAATGTTGGAGCAAAACCCCCAGACCACCTGCCAATCACCCACTAAAGGCTTGGCTATGGTGAAAGTTGATCAGTGACGTTAAGCTTAGAGGAGGGCAAAATCCGGATAATCTATCCGGATAACCGGATAACTATCAATGAAATATTGTCCGAATTCAGACTCTTTACTTCCTTTCCTAACCCGCTTGCCGAAGTGGGTGCACCCATTTGTTGAAGTGATGCTAACCCGTTCGCCGAAGCGGTTCATATCATATAATTTACCGAAGAAGTGCACTAATATATTATCCGGATTTCGCTAAAGCAACTCATTGCCCAGCTCTAGTTAAGCTGAAGGCTTGATTTCATTTCTAGGGAGAAAAGTTTGTCAGAGTCTGCATTTACTTTTACTTTCCAGTAGCGACAAAATTTGTCAACACAAGAAGGCTGCTCCAAGCACAGGAAGTTAACAAAAGGGACGCAATTACAGACAAAGTGTGTGAACAGGAAAGGGTTAAAGGAGGTAAATTTAGTTTTAGTAAGAATTTCACAGCATTTGCAACACAATTAGGTCATATAAGTGCTGAAGATTAGAGGTGTTACAAGAGCGTAACAAACACATTAGAAAAGAAAGAGGAGAGATAAGGAAAATAGATGTTTTTTTTGTTTTAGTAGAGGTTTTACGGTGCTCGCAACTGCATAAGGTCATATGAGCGCCAGAAGATTAGGTGTCACAAGAGAGTAACAAACATTAAAAAAAAGAAGGGGAGATAAGGACGATAGACATTTGATAGGAAAGAAGGAGCAAACCACACCAGAGCATCCGCCAACCACCCACAAAGGAGGTTAAATAGCTGCAAATACAAAACACACAGTAACAGCATCAACAAAATATGCAAATAACTCGTCCAGTTCCAGCCGTTTCTGTGCCGTCCCTAACCCAGTCCCAGACAATACAGCAGTACTTCAGAAAAAGATGCATGCATTCTAAAAAGCGATGTAGTATCTTTGTAATGAGGTTTAGATAATAACATATAACAATGTTTAAAAGTAAATGAACAAATGTTATGAGAATTTAAGTTTAATTAGGTTCGCTAATTTAGAAAAATACACAAATTCAGTACCCCCGAAACTGAGAATATACGCTCTGGGGCCGGTGGGAGGTACAAGCGTTGCTGAAAATATACGCGCATGGGTCTAGAAGGGTTAAGTGATTGAAATTTTGTAACCACAAATCTCATATCTTAGAGTAAAAAATAAAACAAAAAGACATGAAAAGACACAGACACCCACCCAGAACATACAGACATATGCTGTATACACCTAAACATGAAAAATCCTCAAAGTTTCTAGCATTAGTGACAAGAAAATCTCCACAAAGTTCCACCTGGCCTGCTTATTTCTCCCACACAATTTTCTCAGCAGCAGGCTTGACTATGGTCAAAACAGATCCCTCACCTTAAGCTGTAGATTTATTTTGTTTTTTTCCAAATTTTTAATATGGAAAGAGTGTCATAATTGGTAAGAGCAAGCAAAATTTACTTCCACTTACAAATCTGTTGATGTCTCTGGTGGCCTCTTGTTGCTGTGATATGCTGGGCTCCTTTTGCTCGAGGGACGTCTCCTGCTCCGATACTCGGTTTGTCTGCATCTGATACGACCGCGCTGTATCCACATGACGCTTTCGAAGTATTTTGTTTCTATTAAAAGCTGAATGAGTAAAAAAAGAGATGTGAAACTAACAGAAGGTCCATTTCTTTTAAAAGCAGAATAAAAAAGATACCCACGCAGGGTGAAATAATGTACAGAATAACGATTTTTTACAATTATACAATGTTCTACAAACTTCCATATCATCAGTGCTGCGTTAGAACCTTGCTAACTTGAATTTAGGAGAAACACACTCCATCCCCCCCCCCCCAAGAAATAAACCAAAAAAAACCCCAACCCCAAACAAACAAACAAAATACAAAAGAAACAAAACAGAAAAATGTGTCACGACGTGGTGGAATCAGGCGTTGGACAATTTTTGGGCATGTGGAGTTATTGGAATCATCTGAAAGCTGATTTATTTACCTTGCTTCTAATGAAAGAAATCTCCATTTATCTTGAATAGAACTCAAAATCTTAAATATTTCCGATTAAAGGAAGTGAGGTTGCCTGGTTTCAATGGTGAAATTAGCGAGAAAATGGCTGCCAAAGTTTGGTAACTCCCAATAGCTAAAGAGTCTTTGAAAACAGAAAAATGACATATTTTGTACCTTTAATCAATGTTTTTCAGTAAAATTTAAACAGAATTTTCGTTACTCTGATGAGCGCCTGATTTCACCACTCTTCCTCACAAACCATTAGTGTTCACACTAAGGCCATCGAACTTTAACAACGCAATGTGATGGGCCTTACACACAAAATTCGGCTACGAAAACACGAATTTTACCTGAGCGCATTCTTATGCAATCTGAGTCATCAACAAAACCTCCAGTGGTTAGTGAGGGTTCTCGTCTCAAGTGCTGCTTTGTTGAACTTCGTTAAGTTGTTAGCAAAGTTGGAACATCACAACACAAAGTTGGAACATCACAACACGAAGTTGGAACATCACAACACAAAGTTGGAACATCACAACACAAAGTTGGAACATCACAACACAAAGTTGGAACATCACAACACAAAGTTGGAACATCACAACACAAAGTCGTAGCTGCTCCACTAACCTCACTATCTGTGGTAGGTCTTTAACTGCACAGTGTTTAACATGCTCCCTCTCAGTCGTTTCATGATATTCTCATTGCTGGCTAATGAGTTATTGTACGTTTTGCGTGGGTAAAACTTTCAGCGAGATTTACTAGCCCATGGTGCGTTATTAAACGTCAATATTGCATTCATGAGGTTCAAAGGGTCAAGCATGCCTCAGTGGTGGATAGGAAAGTTTGGGCAAAATTTTCAGTGCATTTTTGAGCATTTGTAGTTCAAATCTGAGTTTAATATTTATATAAATTGTGTAATGAGATATCAGAAATTTAAAAAAATGTTTTCTAAGAAATTTGAGCTAGCAAGGTTCCATCAGAGCACAGCTGATGATATGGAAAAAAAAAATTTGTTTTTTTAAAATTAATGACCTAGTGTCTTTCACCTGCGTAGTAAAAATTTAAGACTGCTCTAGCAAACATTTGAGACCCTCCATTTCTCCCTTCCACAATTCAAAATGCAAAGCTACAGGTTCTTTGGCCTCTGCGTTTTACAAGCTTTGTCAGTACTTTTTTTATACCTTACTCTTCCATCTTTTACATCATTTGACTTTTTTATGTCTTTTAAAAGTCAATACATTTGGTAGGCCTCTGATTTTTGCATGCAGTCCTCATTTCATGTTGTTCTTATTCAGACTGTCCAGACTAGCTTCTGCCATTTAGTCTCAGAGAATATTTAAAGAACTCAGTGTATTTATTAGCAACCTCAGTACAAATCCCTTCCTCTATCATCATTCATTTCTTTATGTCCAAAGAAAGTCTGTATGTTTGGTAGGCCTGTAATTTTTGCATTTTATCTAATATCATGTTGATATCATTTAAAAAGTCCAGACAAGTTTCTGCCATTTAGTCTCGGACAATTCAATTAGGAACCTTCCTGAAAGCTTTAGTAGTATCCATTATAAAATACCCGTCCCGCCCATTCTACCATTATACAACAAGAAAAATCCCCAAATCTTGCTTTTTAGTAACAGCAGAATAGAAATTCATCTTGAAAACGCCTCTAAAAAGAGTTCTAGCAAGATTTATGGAACTTTCTGTCATGCTATTCCTTATTATTTGAAACCAATCAAATCATTACCAATGCACCTAAAGACGGGACATTGGATTTTTAAAAAAGGAGAATACTTACGAGTTCTTATCCTGTAGTCCAGCACCTGATAGATCTTGGTTTGTTTGTGTTGGCGAGGATCAAAGCCCAACTTGCACCAGAGGTTCCGCCAAGGCCCAGTCATGATGTAGTAGGCCACCATGGGGAGCAAATACTTCAGTTGTCGCCCAAGAGATGGGTCGAGTTGAGCCTGGCACGCAACCTTTGACCATATTGGCCGGTCTTCAAAGATCTGCCGTAATATAAGCAGCATATGGTAGTTAGTGGAAAAACACGGGGTAGTCAAACAGAAATGTGTGAAACAGACCAAGAACAGCCCCTTTCAGTCAAAAATACTTTTTTAAACTTTAGAAATTGACATTTTTATTTGGAAATCGAGTGGAGTCCGCTTAAACTGAAATTTTTCTTCGGTCTATCCTGGTTTCCACAACTTCAAAGATGTTGCTCAAAAACAAAAAAAAGACGTGGGGATTTTATTTTTTTTGGTGTTTATTGCTGCTTTAAGATTAACCATGTCCAGTTTAAGTGGACTCCACTGTACTTTCCAATCAGCTATAGCTCTCGTTCTGAAAACTGAAATTCACATTAATAAAGACAAATGATGTAGAAAGAAACACACAGACAGAATACAGTATAATCCACTTACATCGACATCCAATTTATCGACATTTTGACACATCAACATATTATCAAATTACGAAATTTTTCCTTCACTTAAATAAATTCACTAAATAATTTCTCTTATATCGATTTTTTTTCGGCCCACTCTGCTTTATCGACAAGCTTCCTGGGTACCTGGCGAAGCCCACGAACATAAACAGGTGAAAAAGCCACGTTAAAGGTCAATGCATTTGTTCTTCATGAAGTCTGCATGCCCGCCAAGTAGCCTACACACCAGGCTTTAGTAGGTCATGTAGGGCCTACACAGTGTAGTCTCCAACACAGCACAGTGCTACACAGACGTGAGCGCCGGTGCCCGCTGGGCATCACCTTCCTACCCCCACTGCCGATCGCTCACCCCCTTTCCACATCCCATTCTCAGTCTGTCGCTGGCAGGTCCCACATCAGTGCCTCACCTGTCCATTTTCCACATCAAGCGGCCAAAAACAGGCCTTATGAGTACAAGTACAAGGATGCTACAACAGAGATTGCGCTGGTATGTAGTGTGCGCCTCACGCCACTCAGTCTTTGGTTCCGTAACT